CGGTCATTTTTTTGGTCTCGGCTTGAATATGGAAAAAAACGCATTAAAGAGGCCCATGTTATTAAACGGGCCGCCACATTACCCGCTGCAGCAGCCTGCATAAAGGCATTGTTACGTAACCCCCAGCATCGACACGGAAGCAATGCAAGAAACATGGAGTCGCAAAGTTCACACATGCCGAGCTTCAGTCTGCAGCCCAGCCAGGTTCTTGCACTAGATCCTGAGCTGCGGCCGCGCACAGCGACGCCTCAGGGCGATTTGAGCCCAACCAAGCCTTCGAGCTTAGAGCAGAACTACAGCTGAATAGCCTTAGCTACGCATGTGCGCGACACCAATATCGACCACGCAGTGCCGCGTAGTGTCACGCAGTGCCTATGCGGAGTGCCGCACCCCAGGCCCAGACCCTCAACCCTCCAACTTTAGTCTTGAAGCCTGAGACTAGAAAACGCAACTGCACCAATTCGCCGCACAATTCGGGAGCCACCCGGTGCTTGTCTGCATGCCTAGGGCAGGGGCAGTGGGGTCTTGGCAGCCTTGGCAGAGGTGCCATGAACATGGCAGAAAGCCCCCGGTTTGTCACAACTCCAGACCAGTGCGGGAGCTACTGGTTGAGGACCAGTGCCAAGGCCCCAACTCAAGTTTTTTGGCCCCGTCGACCTTTGACAGAGCAGACGCGTGATGGATTTGCCATAGGCCTTCCTGAATCCCGACCCTGGAGCCTAAGAGATGTGGATGTGGCCCTGATAAGTCGAGCTGAGCCAAGCTCTGTCAAGTCTTTAATGCTAAATCTCGCTGAAGCTTTGGTCCAGGTGACGGAGAAACATGCTCGACTGTGTTCACCTCTGCCTCTGTCAGTGTTCATCTGGTAGTGTTGGTCAACGGTGAAGATTTCTGAAACAGGTCCTGAACTCGTTTACGTCGTGCTACCAACTTGCCCTCGTCAGGTAGATCAGCGGGCGGCCCTTTTTGGCAGCCGATTTCAAGGCTGCTTGCGAGTCCCAGATAGTGGTGTCGTCTTTAGTAGTGGTCCTGTCGACTGCGCAAGCAGGCAAGGGCGGGGCTCAGAAGCCCAAGGATGACACCTACGCTGCCACCTCCAGGCATTGCATCGAAGAGGATGGACGGATTCCGAGCGCTGCTGTCCGGGCAGGGAGATGATGGAGCGCCAAAACGATGAGGCCATCGAAGACCTGGAGGCGAAGGTTGGGCAGCTCAAGGACATTACGAGGCCTGGACAAGTCTTGTCCTAATGTGTGCTGGGCGGCACGATGACGATCGAGCAACGGTCGAACCTCAGTGCTTATACGTCATGTATTCCAAAGGGTACCCTCTGCCGTGACCCAAACTGTAATATGAGGCAGGTGGGAGTTAACATGTGAGCCCGGGTTCTGGGCCGGAGGGGCTAGGCAGTCCAGGCGCTGCAGTGGTCCCTGTAGCTCGTGTTGCTTGAACGACTGCTGCGTTACACCCGTTGTAAAGTTCAGATGTTTCTGCTGGCCATTCTGCTCGCTCCCTTCGTAGTTTCTGTTTTGAAACCTGCCGTTTGTGCTCTTGACTGTGTAACGAGAAAAACAATGACTTGCACCACTCCCCGATTTATCTCAAAAACTATGATACGTAATGCTGTGGGCAGGAGGCCAGCCTTAATGTCTGTGACGTCTTCCACTTAACATTTGTACCTGAGTACGGCGATAAATATATGTGGCCGGACTTCCTCTGCAACCATGCTCAACACTCTACAAGCGCTAGTGCTCCAGCTCGCCACTATCTTACTCTTGTTTCTCTTTGCTGAGGGTTGTTGCTGTGCCCATTGTCCTGTCGATGATTTTGCTTCTCTGCTCGTTGCTAAGGCGCTGCTGCTTAGGCTACAGCTGGCGATCTGTTTGTTGCCTCTCTTGTTCTCTGTGCCGCTGTTGCTGCCAATGTTTTTCTGTATTCCGGTGGTGGTATTATGGAGCTACGCTTACCATGTCTTCTCCAGTTCGAAAATGTGCCGTTTCTATGTTGTTATTACGCGAGATTTTGTGCCTTGGCTTGATGCATGTTTTTACTGCTACATCTAGTCATCTAGTCTTTTTCGTCGAGCTTGCTGCAACTGCTGCATCACTGTGCCGGCCTGCTCTTATTATCGACCCCGAACAGCGAAAGAGCACCTGACACTCCAGGGCCAATACATGCAAGAAGCATGCCAGGCGCAAGTTACTGCCAAGCTACGCTAGGCCCTATCAAACACTTTAGGCCTCAGCCAAGCAGCGACAACTGTCGTCGTCGTAGCGCCAGCAGAATAGCGGAACAGCTCGACTAGCTTCGGGTAGACACTTAATGCAGAATTGACTGTAGAAGTGGCAGGGAGGCTGGCGCCGATGCTTTGGCAACTAAATGTGCTTTGGCAACTAAATGTGAAACACGGCCGGGCTTTCTTCACCCAGCTGCTTCTGCAACAAAGTTTCACTCAATATCTTTTGACAAAAAAGGGAGGTGAAACAAGGCCGTGCTGCCTTCCCATCTCTGCTTTTGCACCAAATTTGGTAGGTAGAGCAAGGTTGGGCAGCCTTCACCCTGCCGCTCCTGCAAGAAAATAGGAGGTGCAAGGAGCCTGTCACCCCACTGTATTTGCAACGGAATGGATCGGAAGGTTATGACACGCGCGCTATGGAATGGTAACCAGCGGGAATCTTGCCGTGTCATTAGAAGAGGGTTCTGGTCGTGGGTGTTTCAACAGTGCAAGCTAGCAAAAGCGAAGGTTGCAGCATCATCAAGTCGAGGGTTCTAGTGGCGTTTACGTCAGTAATTTGCGTAAAGGCTTTCCTGCCTGTAAGTATACCACCATTTTGCACGGCTTCTGAACCATATCGCCCGAAGCACCCTCTGGAAGACACGACTCCAAAATGCTGACGACATTGTAGTGGAAGTACTATGAGTCGTCCGCCTCGGCCCACGCAGGTGAGGGCTTGAGTGAAGGAGCGCATTGGCTTCCGAATGTCTTTGACTGTCAGTATTTGTTTGCATGCTGAGGCTCTGAGCAATAATCCCGCGCAGAAGGTGGCATATTCCCTGCATTATCCCATAGACGTTTCTATGATACTCCCGTCTTGCCTCGCCACAAGGAAGAGACGAGGGAAGCCGTTGGGGACTGGGGTGGGAGCACGCTTTTAGAGGCATAGACACAGGCATAGACGCGCCATGCCGCAGCTAGATGTGTGCGGTGCACCGTGGCGGGAGGGATGATTGCGAGAGGCGAAAGACCACAACGTGAACCGTCAGCACGGGATTGTGGCGAGAGCAGGGCCCTCCACCCAAAAAGCACCCCTAATCCATCAACCCGGGAAGTGCCGAAGCATTGGATTTTGCCTCAATTCGCCACCAGGCCGACGCGGCTGGCATGGGACTGCGGAAAAGAACGCGAACTCAGTCGATACCATGGCAACTTACGCCGTGCACGCCTCTAACCAAGGAGAGTCTTACCCTGAACGTAAGAACCTCATAGGGTTCCCGTTCGATTTCCGAGATGTCGGTTTGTGTTTGACTTGCTTGCACATTCTGCGAACCTGTTTTCGTTTATCACTTCTATATTCCGCAATGCTGTGCTCTTGGCTACTCCTCCGCCCCTCCCAATATCAGCTAGAACGTTTCCAAAGACGATGATGTGGGCAATGTTGCTTGTAATTCCATGCTTGCTGCTTGCCCTTAGTACTGCTGTGGCATTCATGTTCCTCGTTGTGCTCTTCGTGACTGCCCAAACTTCTGAAACCAGGAACATTGGCTCCTCGATCAAGGACTCCAACAGCTTGCTCGATCAGATGGGTGGCCTCCCCAGCTTCGGACTGCTCCCTAGGCCCCCCGGCCCCCTGCATGTGGGAGATGCTCGAGGTATCGACTTCGACAAGGCTGCCGGGCTTCTCAAGGGCACCCTGGGCAACCTGAAGGCAGCGCTCTTAGAGTTTTCGGCTCTTCCGAGTAAGGCTGGAGGAGTCTGGGATCAACCGAAAGGTGTTCCCAGTACAGGGACCGGTGTGCCCAGCACCCAGCACCATGCCGCGATAATTTGACCGCTGCGCTCCAGGGGATGATGGCGAACAAGAGCAGCAAGCACATGATCTACATGGTGCTCTTTGCCGGGGCTCCCAGAGCTCCTGGTATCCAGGCAAGCATCCTCCTTTCCTTTAGCTTCGGCGTAATCGTCATGGTGATCGTCACCAGCATCAGCAGCATCAGCATCAGCGTCGACAGGACCTTTACGTTAATGGCAGCATCGCACGCGAGACCGCGAGACCTGGCTTGAGGTCGTATGCCTGTTCCTCCTGATGTACTTCCTGAGGAAGATGAGCTTCGGCGGGCTTGCGCCCCGAAGAATCCCGAGAGAAACTGGGATGCTGAACATTGACGTCAGCTTTGCATGATCGCCGGCGAGGTCCGGGGGTGCGGCATCCATACAACTGTGTCTACCTCAGACCCTTGAGAGGTGGTCGTGAGGACAGCATATCGCAGAGAGCATAAAACCCCATCAATCTCCTGAGCCTAGGAAGGAGAATGCGTCCAGCGGTGGTTGAGCGACGGTCGTGACTTGCGCCTGCGCTCACGCATGGTCCGATTCAGAGTCTTGCATCGTGTTGCATATGCTGCACTTCCTGTTCACATATGTCGAGGTACATCTCGGTACTAGTTTCCCTGCCCTCCCAAGTTCCACACCTTTCTCAATCATATGCTCGGATTGAATTTTCCAGCGTGGCAGAGGAAGCGGGGCACAGAGACTTGCCCGCCTTTCGATGCAGACAGTGGCGAGGCATAAACGTGAGACCCCTGCTCAGAATGTAGTCAGCCTTCTCGACTTCTGGTAGGCAGTCCTGCTTGTAGTTCACATATCTTGGTGGAACACAGCGTCGCGATTCCAGCAGACGCGCATGGTGTCCTGCATAGCGGTGCTGGGGCCTGCCAGGGTCTGCTAGAGATACCCGTATGCAAAGTATTACAGTAAGGCATCCGCCGTCCGCACTCGCGAGCTACAGAGAATCGAGTTGTTGTCATTTTTCTTCGACGTTCACTGCCTTGAATACCTTTCTTGTGCTGCAGGGGATGGGAAACGCACTGCCTGCTGCCAACAGAGAGCGTTTGCATCTGCGAAATCTGGCTTGCAGCCTCGGCCGCATGCCCCGTGAAGATTGCCGGGAAGCAAAGAGGCAGGGGCAAGAAGATGAAGCAGTGAGAGAGAGAGAGAGAGAGGTTCCTCAACTAAGCCATTTCCTGAAACGGGGAAGCTGACCAATTCGACTTTGAATTCCGCTGTCATATTATCCAAGCCGATGCATGTTTTTTTTTTTTTTCTCAGCCCTGCGAAACCGTTTTATGTTACGGTGAGTGATGCAGGCATCAAGGTTGTTGTGAACTTTGGTGACTTTCCACTCTGAGATTTCACGCCCTTCCAAAAGCCCCGGATAGCAAACGGGCGTCCTAGAGCCCGGGGGGCCTTAACAGCCCTCTATGCCCGAAGGAAGGAAGCGAGAGAGAGAGAGAGACTGAGCAACCTCTGCCCACAGCCCTGGCGAAAGAAAGAAAGAGACTGCGATCGAGTGTCGGAGTTCGTGGAAAGAGCCTTTGACTGCAACGAAACCCTGAACCCTGGACACTCCAACATCTGAAGCCGGGATTGCTGTCGCAAGGCCCATGGAAGGGCAGCCGTGGCCAAGGGGCGCAGGCTGGAAGGGTTTTTGTCGTTCTTGTGACTTCGAGGCATGTTTTCGGACCAGTTGGAGTGCTGCCACACTGGAAGTTGGGGTCAAAGTACCACGTGCTCACACTTCTCAGCCGTCGTTTGACTGCCGGGATGCAGGCGTCGCCTTTACGATGTTCATATTTGCGCGGAGACTGGGGCTGGCAAGAGGATGGCAGTAGTACGTCGACGGTCATCTTCTGCTTCGACAGCTGGCAGGCCTCTGGTGATGGGGTCTCTCTACATTTTTGGGCTTGCCGGGTTTTCCCTAGACTCCATGGGCTAAGTGATCAGGTTGCTAGCCCCATGGAAGCAGTGGGAGCATGGTGTAGCTGTCGAGTGTTTGCGTTGTAGCGCAGCTGCACCAAATTCATGCCAGGATTTGCCCGGCTCCCGGCATCGGAGAGATTCGCAGCTGACCACGGCTTCCGCCTATCCTTTGCTGCGATAGTTTCGCTTCTAGGACCCACTCGCAAGATTGAGCAGGGACATCTGCAGATCTCGGCGGTGCGCATGGAATTGCCACAGGGGTATGTGACCGGAGTGAGATCACAGGGATCACAAGCTGTGTCTTCCGTCGTCTTCCACAGATGCCTCGATACTCCATCCTGCCCAGCGATCATATTCTCCTTCTCCACGCCAGTCTTCGTACCACTCCTCTTTTTCAGTTGCAGCACGGGTAGCAGACCCAGTCAGAGAACGTCGCAAGCACCTTTCCCCGCAGCAGGTGTCGGTGAGGCCCAGGAGGGACAAACTTTCCCTGTCTTCCTGATGGGCAGCCGGCGCTTGAAGGCATTTGATGGGCCTCGCCGCCAGTGACAAGCACTTAGGAGGTGGATGCAGTACGCATGTACAGCACATAGCACTTCATAGCGCATAAGACGATAGGCTCCTCGTTGGACCAGAATAACTACCCCATGCTTTAAGGCACCTTCCACTTGTGACACTCCGCCGACACCGTAGTGACACTGTTGCCAGTTGCTCCATCGAAGCCCGCATGCTGCCACGGATTGTCGGTGCAGTTGTTGAATCTAAACTTCAGCCTAAGCTGTAGCAAGACCCACAGATCTCAGCCATCATGCGGTCAAGGACTACGTTGCATGTCAGCCAGACAGTCGCGCTGCGACCTGATGGCAGAACCTGTGGGCCGTCCGAGACGGCGGCACTAACGTTGTGACTTCCGGAGCTTGACTCCGGATCGGAGTTGTCGTTGGTCGGCACAAAAGCAGCTGGCAGTGGTGCAGACGGAGTGAAGCTGAGGCCTCGAGCACGTGCCGGCACTAAGTCCGTGTTGCGGTGCCGATCTTTCACTTTTCAGACCATCCATGTGAAGATGCCTTTGACACGTCTGACCTTGCGATGCCAGCTGTTGTTCTGTTGAAGATGGCCGGTACACTGACAGCCCCAGACTTTGGTCGAAGATGTGGCAGGACATCAGGCATGGAGTAGCAGGCATCTGATTGTGGATGCTTTTGATTCGGAGCTCCTCGCGGCTCCAAGGGCCAGACCTCTGTGGTGCCACAATGTGATCGTAACACCTCGGCCATAACTCGCCCGCGGTGCAGTGCAATGTCTTGCCATGGAGTATTCTCGGCCCGCACACACAGAGTCGACACTCCGTCACACCAGCCAGAGCCGCCGTGCACTCTTGATCTGAGATTTACAGCAGCGCCGTGTTTCAAATGTACTTGCATCCGAGAGGATGCAGCTTGCCTTTCTGGAGAGGTGTGACATCTGCTGACCAGCTCACGGCTGTTGGAACAACCGGGTGACCATGGCATCTCCCGAGTCGGTTGAACCTTGAAGAGGTGGTGCCCTTTGCGTCGGTGGCTGCTTGTACCGCGCTTTGGCCTGTTTGGGCTTTTCTGCCGCCAGAAGGGCCACAAGTGGCCCCAGAGCATGCTTGTAGCCGTGTTTTCAATTAACCGATCCTGATCTTGCTGCATGCCTGTCGGCAGACGGCAGCTTCAGCTGAACGCCGATATCCGTGCTGCATGCATGCCTCAGATAGCCCGGTTGCATGAGCCCGTTCTTTACTGCGGCCAACGGCTCAGTGCACCGTCCCGAGCCTTGCAGTGCAAGAATTCCTCAGCTGACGCCCGTATGTGCACTTCCCTGATCCCCGGCCGGGGCTTTTGCAGAGACAGTCGGGATGTGTCCTTGGCCTTAGCCGACTCTGGGCCTCGGTTGTACCTGGCTCAAGGAGGCGACGCCCCATGTTGCCTTGGGGGCACTGCTTTTCGTTCTGTGCTTTGGGCCCTTGGGTTGCGGCATAGCTCGCACTCGCGATCTTGATCTGACAGCTCAACAGTAGCTGAGCCTTGGTCAAGCGTGCGAGGCTTTGCAGTGAAGATCACGCCATCCTTGACATCCCCTGGCTTCGCTGCCGTGTCTGCCCACACCTCCGGACTCCAGATTTACTTGGAGCATGCGGTGCCTCGAACTTCGGAGCAAGTCTATGTTCTCGTTTGCATCATGACATTGCTTTTCGACCCGAGCTGGCTTTGCAGCTTGTCAGCTGGGGAACGCTCTGAATCTTGTTTTTTTCCTCACTGAAGCAGCATGCTGCCAACTGCGTCAGGCTCCGTGATAAGTCTAGCTCTTTCAGGTTCTGCCATACGCTCGGCACACCCAGTCCTTTCGAGCTCAAGCCAGTTCATGGTGCCAAGGCCTGCCGTTCAGGGGTTTCCTTTTCCAAGGTAGACTTTGGTGCAATGTTCTCAGCCCGCTGAAGCGACCCAGAAGCACGAGTACTCTAGACAACACCCGTACTCGACGCCCATGCAGTCGTTCCAGACTTCCAAGGCTGGTGGCTGTCTTTGGCATGGCCGAGAGAGCCCCAAAGATGCCAATGGCCACAGGGTGCAGCTGCCGTCTAGTCGCTCCTGCAGCCCGACAGCCAATGGGTTGAAAGATGTCGATGTCCTTGGTCGGCCAACTCTGCAACCCACGAAACGGCTGCTCTGCAGATTAGATCAATTGAAGTCAGGCGCTTCGAGCCGCAGAGGGCCACGCCCCGGTGCCATGCCTGACCACGATGCAGGGATATACAGGGCTTCCCCTGGCTTCCGTCCACGTCCCCCTTCAGAACACTTGTAGAATTGTTCGGATTCTCGTTCTTTCCGCAGTCAGCACCTTGGAGCTCAGTTCCAGTGGCACCATGATGCCACAATTGGATATCTGCATAACAGCTTCTCACGCTCTCTGAGTGCAATTCTGAGCCCATACCTCCCCATGGCTGCCAGTCCGCACACATAACCTCTTCACAGCATGTCCCTAGTGTGAATTGTCACGACCTATTGGCGTGATCATCAGGACGCCTTCGTACTGCTTGCGGACCATGCGCGGGAGCGAGGTTGGCTTGGGCTTGTCCCAGCCATTTCTCAGCCTCTGCTGGCGGTACATTTCATTGCAGAGCCCTCGAAGCTTCAAAGATTTGCGGGCGTTTGGTAATCGCTTGTCATTCTTCGTGGCCTCGGACTGTTGCGACTGCCTTTGCTCCCCTGTGTCAGGTTTAGCCTCTGCGAGAGGCTCTCGAAAGGGCAGTGCAACATCCGTAGCAGCATAGGGCAGAGGGAGTGGTCCGACGCCGCCCTGCAGCAGCATCTTCCGAAATTGAAATAAGTGCCGGCGCCCGTTTCAACACCCTCCTCCTGCCACACCCCCGCATTCCCCCATCCCTGCGGGCACACCACCATGGCCCGAAGAAGCATACCCACACCTCCGGATCGCCGATTCAGGTGGCAAAGCCGTCAAGTTTTGCCGTGAGCAGAGCAAGCAACATTGGCTGCAAAGCCAGTTGAAGTTCTCGCATTCTAACACCACGCGGCCCGGACGACCGTGGCTTGGCAAGGCGGGGCATGATGCCCAAGACCAAAGAGAGCCTCATGTACGACGCATGTCAAGCGTTCGTGCGCACAGCTTGCCATGGAGGCTGTCATGAAATGCGTCCAGATCTGACTTGCAATGGCTTGCCACGAAGGCATCTCGCCCGACCATGCACAGGTTCCCCCCGCTGTTGTGCTGGATTTGCTAAGAATGAGCAAGGCGCCATCTAGCGATGGAGGACGAGGAACTGTCTCTCGCGACACTTTTGTCTGTGCTGCTTCTGCTTGCTTGTCTTGAGCTGCTGTGTGTCCTCTGCCAGTGACCTGCAAGTCATCCACGGCCGGAGCGTTTGTCCCGCACTCTTTGTGCGATGCATGCAGCATCGCATTGGTTGCGAAGGGCACGGCATGACGTGGAGCTGTAGAGCGCACGGCAACGGAGAGGATGATTCTAGGATCTCGGCTCTTCCGACTGTAGCTTCACCAGGCCCCTGTCCTCTGCTTGTCGAGAAGAAGCAGACAGCCGGCTGATCTGGCACACAGTCCAGGAGACGGCAGAGGCTGATTGATTCACAATCACTCACACGACTCGCCGCTCGGAATACCGTAGATGCAGCTGCTCCGTTGCACATTCACGAACCAAGGCAATCCACCGACCTGCGTGCTGCGGTTCGCAGCCGCGGTGGGAGGGTGGGTGAAAAGCAAATCTTTGTGTTCGTCCCTCGAACCAATGTCACTATGCACATCCGGTGTGCCACGACCTTGTGCGTGCCACCCGGTTGCAGAACAGTTCTTTTTGCCACTGCCGCTCGGCCGAGCATAGAGGTAATTGGTCTACACTCGTAGAAACCAACTTCGATAATGTCCAAAGGGGCCGTTTGCCACAAGCTCTGAGCTTGTATGTGCAGCGAGCTCTGACCGTGTCCAGACTCGGCAGGCTCTGTCTGACCGTGTCCAGACGCGTCATGTGTACATTCTGTGATCGCACATGGAAGCTTGCAAAACATCCGATCATGCTGGCCATTGACATCGGGGCTGAACAACTTCCTGAGCAGAAAGGTGTAATGAGTGTAATACGTATTCTTGCATGGATGCGTGTGGAAGCATTCAGACATGTTTGGACAGTCACGGAATGCCACGGAGACAACATTCGACTTGTGGCCAGTATCAGCAACGAGAACAGCTTCCATCAGGTTGGCCCTCGTGTTTTATTTACTTTTCCCGTAGACATTGTGCAAGTCTCCACCAGCTGAATCCACTCTGCCCATCTAAGCCCCAGTGAATGCCGGGGCCATATGCATCGCGACCTATATTCTCTGTCGTCAGAATGCTGTGAACTCTGACATGTCTCCCCT